GATTGAAAGTTAATATTAAAAAATGAACTGGAAATAACGGCTCATGTATTTCGTTTTGCTACCTTAAAGTGTCAGTTAGTTAATTTTTGCTTTGCCTTTTTTCAGTACTATTACTTTTTAAATACTTTTATAATTAATGTCTGCATAAATGCTTTTATAAACTTGAACACCAAATCTTTAAATTATCATATTTAAAAAGGTCTTTTTCTTTTATGAAATGTTTAGTTATTTGAAAAAAAAATGGTAGTCGTAAAAAATGTACTAACTACTACTACTCTCTAAAAAATCAACCTAGGACAAAGCTACAAGTGTACTGTACAGTTTTCTTCAGTGATGATTAAATTTATGGTATTCATACATAAAATTTGTATAGTTTTCTAAGTTCATTTTTCTTTTTTTTAAATTCAATGATGTTAACACTTTTCACAGTATCTTTGAGAATATTTTGTGTCAATGAGTAATTTAGTAAATTTAATGGATAGGAACTCTGAATGATAAATCAGAGATCCAAGATCGAATTCTAGTTAATTCATTATATTCATTTATGTGCAAATACCCCTGTGAAAGGTATGAATACATCTCTTCTCCTTAAGCTATGGGTTAAATGGTAGGACTTGTATCTGGAGAAATCATTGTTACCTCCAAAAAATTATTAATGCTATATTCACTTGCCAAAAACGAATTATTCATACAATTCCAAATTATGTTTCAGCTTTAAATAATCCACAAAGGGTAGATAAGTCGTAAAAACAAATGAATCAACATTTAGATTAATAACAATATTCTTACTATGTTCACTAATATTAAACTGATTTACCTAAAATAATGTAAATTGCCTGTCTGATACAATATTTCTAATTTCTAAATGTAGCAACCATAGGTTATCTATAAACAGTTTACAGTAAGAAAACTAAATCTATCTCTCTCCTTTCTTTTTTCTTTCTTTCTTTCTTTCTTTCTTTCTTTCTTTCTTTCTTTCTTTCTTTCTCTCTCTCTCCTTCTCTCTCTCTCTCTCTATATATATATATATATATATATATATATATTTCAATTCAAAAATCAAATTTTTTACAAAAAGCAATATTTGTCAAAAACGGTTAAATTAATGAAAAAGTGCTGAATACAATTTTGAAAAAAGAAAATCTACATCATTTTAAGACATAAAATATTTAGAAAGTTATTTAGATATATATATATATATATATATATATATATATATATATATATATATATATATATATATATATATATATATATATATATATATATTTATATTTTAATTATATATATATATATATATTATATATATATATATATATATATATATATATATATATATATATATATATATATATATATATATATATAAAAAGAAATAACAAAAGCAAAACTTTTGTATATCAATGTATTTTGTTCTTTGAGGAATTTTATCAAGATAAATATGGAAATTTATTTTGTAACTTGTATTTATACAGAGAAGTAATGTGGAGGAAAAATATTGTTATGGTTTCAAATTTTTAATTTGAGAATGCCTTAAAATATTCATAAAGCTTGTGGTGTAAAGATAATTAGACCATATAGGACACTAAGTGATGTAATCTACTACCTTATAGAATAAAGTGGGCAAATATTCTCATTGAATTTTTGTTTTAATTCAAGAGCAACAACTATTTTTCCTATTAAATAAAACTTTTGTAATCGCACTCATAAAATATCAAAAACTTAAATACTTGTATAATTTTTTGATGACATGAGTAAACGAGTAATAAAAATAATAATTATATATATAATTATATATTTAATTATTTATATAATAATTAAGAAACAATTACATAATATTATGTATATATATATTTATATACATATATATATATATATACATAATATTATATAATTGTTTCTTAATTATTATATAAATAATTATGCATATATATATATATATTCAACTCTCCTGTTGAAGTTGACATATGAGGGTCAAGCATATCAGTTCCTAGGAACCAATATATATATATATGTGTGTGTGTGTGTGTGTGTGTGTGTGTAGTTAATTTGCACACACAAAATTCAAACCATAACCTAAATTAAATAGTCAACAATAAACCAGAGACCAATGAACAAGGCGAGTAAAGAATAAAAGAAAATATATATAAAAGAGAAAAAGACAAAGAAAGAGGAAGAGAATCAACAATCAACACCCATCAAATGAAAGGAAATAGATAACACACTCACACCAATAAAAGTACAAGAGAATTGAGAAATGACAGCAGATTAACTCTGTTCTGACAAGTGATTATACTTATATAGCCATGAAACACTTAAGCAAACTTTTTCAGATTAATTCTATATATATATATATATATATATATATATATATATATATATATAATTATTATTATTTTATTATGTTCAGTTCTTGTCATCTGATGAATGCATAACATGAAACTCAGTGTTGATTTTGATTTGAGTCTCTGACTGCTGTATTATTTGTTAGTGTTACTGTTCTGTCTTTTTGTTGTTGTTGTAATCATCTCATTCCAAGAAAGGCAATAAAGCCACTAGAGCAAAAGGGGTTACTGAGTGTTAGAAAATATGAGAAAAACTACTATTAAGAAGAGAGGACAATACTGCTTCAAGTCTCTTTTTCATCTTTGAGGAGAGATTAGCATAGGAAAAATCCATAAAATGTTGCTGTGAACGAAGAAATTATTCAAAAATAATAATTCAGATAACTGATAATACAATTCTTTATATATATATATGTTTATACATTCTTTTTATAGATACAAATATTTAAGTAAATGCTCTGTTTATAATAAACAGTATTAAACAACATTTACCAGCCTGAATACTGTTTATTACGGTTACATCTAGCAGCCATTTCAATTATAAAATGATGAGTCCTTGCCACCAATGTCATACTTCACTTAAATTCAAGCGAGGACGAATAATATTACAGATTCTTCTTTTGATTTCATCAAGAATCTCTAAATATATAGCAGGAGCACCAAACCAGAAGTGGTAGCAATATTCAAAGCAAGGATGAATGGTTGACTTATAAATATGTAAGATAGATTCTGGTGAAAAAATTGTCTAACACGTCATAGGAAACCAACTTTCTTAGCTGCAGACATAGGAATTGATTCAATATACTCTTTCCACTTCATATCAACTGAAAATATTAGTTTCAGAAGGCAGAATGAGTCACTTTCCTGGAGGTTAGCATCAGCCATGAGAGTTCCCTCAGATGATTAAAAGAGAGCAATTTCATTTTTGAGGTGTTAAAATTAACAAACCATTCCTTGCCCCATTTAACAACTGGTTGTAATTCATTTTTTTAGATCAGTTGCCAATTTGACCATATCATACCAATCAGACTAATCAGACTTTGTATTAAGATAGGAGTAAATAGTTGTGTCATCAAAATAATAACTAAGTTGAGAACTGATGACATCAGGAAGGTCATTTATGAAAATCAGAAACAATGTAGGTTCAAGGATAGAGCCCTGGGGATCAACTGCATTAATGCAAAAAGATCTAGAAGAGTGGCCATTCAAGATAACATTCATTTCACGATTTGACAGGATGGAATCTGCCCAAAATTTGTCCAGAAATACCATAACCTTTCAACTTGTGAAGAAGACCAGTATACTAAACCCTGACAAATGCCTTCCAGATATCTAAAGCAACAGCCCAAGCTTCAACATGCTTATCTAAAGTTTGATAGACTCTTTCAGCAATAATCATTAATAGTTCACCCAGAGAAGCGAAAGCCATATTTCTTATCTGAAAGAAGATACTGCAATGTGAGATGCTTAACTAAATCAGAGTTAATTAGAGCCTCTAAGTACTTTGCCAAAAACAGGTAGCAAGACCATTGGTTAGAAGGATCAGATGGTTCAACTGACTTTTTAAAGACTGGAACTATACAAGAGGATTTACAAACAACAAAGCAAGAAGCAGCAAGGCATTTAGTGTAGAGTCTAATGAGAACAGGAGCCAGATCAGGAGCATATTTCTTAAAGACAATTGCAGGGATACCATCAAGTCCACATACTTTGTAAGGATCCATTTTAGAAATGATAGCGGAAACCATAAACAGAGTTATATGCATATCACTCAATAATGTCTAAGTCGAATAACTGTCTAATCTAATTTGTAGAGGCATTGAGCACTTTAAGTTTTTATGGTAGAGATGTTCTTTGAGACTTTATAAATAGTTTGGTTTGCTGATATATATATATATATATGCTTTACATCAATAGCATCTTCACATCCATTTGTTGCAATCAAGACTGTCACTTCCATGTGGATCTGTACAGCCATAACAGATGCTGTGCTACCATTAGCAGCTGAAGCAAAAATTTTTGTCAAAAAATGGTTGACCAGAGTATTTCTAGAAGGTAACATTTTTATGTTGAGCAATCTTTCTAATTAAAGTGCTCCATATCAAGAATCAGAGCATTAACATTTAGTTTAAATTCAGTTTTATGATTAAATTCCTCATGAGTGGGTACCATATATTTGAAACTCTAAATTGGGAAGGATAAGTTAAATATTTAATTTTATTTGTCTCAAATAAAAGACTTGGTAAAATTGTAGCAAACAGCAAATAAAGAAATCTGAAAATAATAATAACTAATCCATGGCTGGTGCTCAAACATCTACTGATGAAGACATGTGAGAAAGAAGAAACAATGTCTGAAGTCTGCCAAATAGTATTCCAGAGATTGATTAGATAAAAAAGTTAATTTGCAATGAAAAATCATTTAAGTTAATACATCTTGTCTCTGTTGAAGAGAATCTTCTACTGTTTCGGTTTACTTGTATTTGTATTATTAATACTTAATTCTTAAAAACTTGTATTTATTTAAAAACTTGTATTTGTATTATTAATATTTAATTCTTAATAACTTGTATTTGTTTAAAAACTTGTATTTGTATTCTTAATACTTAATTCCTAAAACTTGTTCTCATATAAGGAATTACTTACAGCCACATTACATTGAAACAGCAGTTCCTGTACGATCACCAAAGTTTAGCAATGTCAAGCCTGGTCAGTACCTAGATGGGTGACTGCTTGGGAATACTAGATGTTGTAAGTTTGGGTATGTGGACAGTATAATAGATAATGGTTTGGAATTGTTAACCAGAGAGTTGGTTTCTTGATTTTGTTTAGTGGCATATCAACCTCTATGGGTTATTTAATACTGAAATCTAAATATTTTGAACACAATTTTATAGCTTCAACTATAGATAAAATATATTGTTGGTCATTTTGCTATATAATGTATTGTTGGTCATTCTACAGTTCTGTTGGTAATTTTACTATAAATAGGTATTGTTGCAATTTTTTTATATAAAAATCTATTGCTGGTATTTTTGCTATAAAAATATATTTTTATACTTTCACAGTATTTTGTTTTTGTTTTTGATTTCACCATTTGCCTATGGCTGGTATCCTAACAGGTGCTACCACCACAGGTCAGACTAGACCTGGCAACAACAGCAATTAAGAGGTGGTCCCACACTTTTCAAAACCTTTAATCTCTCAATGAGAGACCTTGCTGCCAGGACTAGAATTGGAGAGAAGTATTTCAATTTCAGTTTGTCCATTATATACATTTGGTAAATGTATGAAACCACTTTTTCTCCCCCCAAGCTATGGGTTAATTGGTAAGACTTGTATCACTAAATCATTATTATCTCCCAAGAAAAAAAGAAATTCTTACACTCTAAAACTATTTTCTGGCTTTAAATAACTTGCAAAGGGTTGATAAGCCTTAAAAATCGAATCAATCAATCGAAATCATCTAAGGAATTGGCAAGCAGTGTCTGAATTTGAGTTGAGACTATATTTTTGATTGGACATTTTTTAAGATTGTTCATAACCTCATTGATTGCCTTATTTTGTATGTTTTAATGCTTGCACTTTGATGACAGATTTTTTTTTTATATTTGATGATTATATTTCAGGATTTTAAATAGCAACAAATAACAATTTCAGCAATTATAGTTGCTTTCTACTTATTTGTGAATTAATTTCCTGGAGATAAATGAGCATGATTTGGCAATGTGTAACCTTTGTGCCCACAAAAAAATGGTGTGTCAAAAGGAAATCATAGACAATCTTTGACCTTCATGGCCACAAAAAAACTATTAAAAGCATAGTTTTTCCCTTGACACTTCTATTATTTTAACTACCTTCACTCTTCAGCAACTCTATCCTTTTAATAGACTGTTTTTTGTGGCCATGAAGGTCAAAGATCGTCTATGATTCTTTCTGTTCTGTATGTTGGTGGCCATTTCCAATGTGAAAAGTGCACATGTATAAGTGTAATCTTTATAATACTATTGACTCATGAATATTAATGATTTCAGTGTGTATTTAAGGATTTGCTTGAAATGTCAGACAATGTGCCACCTGCAGCTATTGAGAAGAGATTGCAGTTATATTTGGCAGTGATCTATGACAAACTGTTCCACCATTTATGGTATCGAAGTGAGTTTCTTTTATTGCCTCTGTGAAGACATCATTTTGAAATCTCTCCTTGTGTTTGCATGAAAGAATCGGCCTGCTTGCAAGAGCAATTTTATTAAATTTATCAATAAGTGATGAAGTGATGCATATCTATATTACAGTTCCAAAGAAATGATACAGTTTTGCTTCCAGTCAAATCACAACATAATGTACCAAAAATAAAAATAATTTGAAAAACTTGACTATAAAGAAATAACCTGCTGAACCTCTGGAACATTTTGGTCTGAATTTCTGGGATGAGGAGTTATCATTATTTACACTAACAATAAGAACTAGATGTGATATCCCTAGACATGGGAAGTGGAATTAAATAAAGGATTCATTTCAGAATTCTCTAGGTTATTCAGATCAATATATACCTGAGTACAATGTCTGAAATGTTGGGATAACAAGCAGAGCTAGTGCAAGGGTCATGTGCCCCATTCCCCAGAATCTATTATACCCCCACCACTCTACTAAATCTCAATTGTCATAAAGTAGTATTCATATAAAATAAGAATTTTATTGTAACATAATTATGTCCAATAATGTATCATATGCAGTATAACTGAATAATTCAACTAGGAAAATTGAAAATAAACACAATGTATCTAAATAAATTAGAGACACGTCATAATAGATTATTCCCTCTTAAATAAATCAACAGTGTTTTACAAAAATTTTTGCCATCAACTTGAATTTTTTCTTGTTAAAAAGTTGAATAATTTTAACACATTTAACATTATGGATAAAAAATAGTAAATTTTATATAGTGTTTTTTTTTCAAGATTTAGCATGAGCAAAACAAATTCACAGAATTCAACAAAAAAAAAGACAACAGAATGACATCAAAATTCATAAAAAATTTTTAATCCTTTAATAGTCAGTAATGCCGATTTTATTTTGTAAATGTAAGTAGAGAAAAAGCAAATCTTGACAACATAGCGAGGTTCACAATCTCCAATCAGGATTGTGCTCTTACAGGCAGGGATTTTGGGGGTTGTACACACTGGCCCTGATAACAGCAACAAAGATGAGGATAATAGTCCAAATGTAAATAGTGTAAATAATGACTCTGGAACATGTTTAACCTTTGCAGACTTATCAAAACTTTACTTTCAGATAATTTTCAAATAGGCATTGGTTTGTGCTGTTACCTATCATTTTAAAATATATAATGAAAAATTTATCAAATCATAGCAATAACTTACTGCTTTAATAGAAATGGCTGTCTTTTACTGCCTTTTTATTTTCTTCTTTCATACTAATCAATAAAAAGATAAAATCAATTTTGTCTGCTTTTTCAGCTCCCCTTTTAATATTATTACTTTTGGTAGACTCCTGCTTATTGAAATCATTGTCTTTTGTTATATCTATTACTGTAATTATCCCTCATATAATTACAATCATTAATAGAAATATTATAGCAATTACTTTCCCTAATACCACAATTACTGCAACTAAATCCACGGTTAAATGACCCATGATCACCTGAACAGGTGAACAAAACCTGAAAATACCTGCAGAAGTGTGATTTCCCTTCCATTCTAATCATAGAAACATTTGTATGTATACTTCATTGATATACTTACCTGGCACATGCCGGGGAAATTTTAAAAAAATATTAAGTCCAAGCTCCTGGGGACTTTCCCACAGGCAGTACCTCTTCTTTGGGAGGAGTCTGGGTTCATTGCCTAGTATCTGAGTCATCCCCAAAAGGGAAAGTGCTGAGGGGGCTTAGGTAATGTTTCCACAATACTGCCATTAAAACTACTTTAAATCTTGACCTTGTGTCACACCCAGTACCAGTGTGGGCACTCTGGTAAATACCTACTTCATTGATATAACATTGAAACATTATTTACATTGTTCAGACTGTTGACCTCATCTTTATTGCCATATTCACAACGTTTTGGCCCTTCTACATTCCAGCCTTCTTCAGGTTATTCGTCCACCAGGGTAAAAATAATAGACAGAGAACATCACTGGAAAGTACGAAAACTTAAGGAATCAGCACATATGCTAGGCTACAAAAATTTCCTAAGCCGGTCAAGCATAGAAACGAATACAATATGTGAACCAGTAATATGGAGTGCAAGAAAAAAGTAATAACAACAACAAAATTGCAATATGAGCTCTGGTAAAAATTTTACTGAGATATTAACTTTATAAGTTCCAAAAATTCATACAGTGATGTCTTCAAGGACATATGACCCAGTGGATAAAAGTGTTGGTTGGATCTAGTGACTTAATCCAAAGAGTTATGAGTTCAATGGCTACTACATTGGTGAATTAAAAAAAATTGCTATTACATTGTAAACATCATCAACTCGGTTTGTTTTCCTTGATTTGAATTCTTAAGTGTTTTGAGCTTCTTTGCACTGTTTTTACTCAAATTAAGGAGTGACCAATACTGGTAACTGCTAGTCGAAATATTTCCATAAAAATAAAATCATTCATTGGAACTACAAGTTTTTTCTTTTAATTATACAACTACCAATGAAGACAAGCATCCTAAATTTAAAAACTTGGAGAGTTGAGTTAAAGGGAGATAACTGAGGCATAGCACATGGAACTAGAACAATCTACCCCAGTAGACGAAATAAAGGGTTCAGTTCAAAATTCCAATCACCTGAAGAAGCCCAGAGACAGCTGAAACGTTGTGGCAATAAAGAAATATGGCAATAAACATGAGGACAACAATCAGAAAAATGTAAATAATTACAATACCTCATCTCAGAAATATAAACGAACATTGAATGTTCTGTATCTGTCTATATTTCTGAGATGAGGTATTATGTACACTATTTACATTATTCGGACTATTGTCCTCATCTTTGTCGCCATATGTATTACAACATTTCGGCCATTGTATGCACTGGCCTTCTTCAGCTGGTTGGAATGTTGAACTGAACCATTTATTTCGCTCACTGAGGTAGATTGTTCTAGTTCAATGTGCCATGTTTAATGGATGTCAGTTATCAGTTATCTCCTCTTAATTCCCCTCTCCAAGTTCTCCACTGCTTTAACCAGGTATTGAACTTATACTCTTTGGGTCTTGTCAATGAATGTTCTTCTATGTACTGTGTCTCTTCATGTCTTTCCACAATTTGCTATCTTTTGTTGTTCTAATCAGTTTTTGTCTTTTTACTATTTATCCCATCTACCATCTATTTACACAAGCTCATTAGGTTGGTTGCTGCTTTTCTCTTCTGTTACACTTGCTTTCAATATTTTCTGAGTGTCAAATTATCCAAGTTTACTTTCCTCATTATGTGTCCTCAAAAGTTTAACTCTCTTTCTGATTCTAACTATAAGTGTCTATCCATGTTATTCACAGTATCCTTCTGTTGAATCAAGTCCCCCTCTTCATCTATGAGGAAATTGTGTAACATTCACTGCTATATAAAAGCTACTAAGATGTAAGGGGTTACTGAGAGTGAAGGAAACAGGGAAGAAAATAAAAGAACAGATTTCAAATAGACAGTAAATGATGATTGACATCAAATTTATATTTTTGCAGATCATAATTGACACAAAAGCAAGAAACTGGAAGAAGCAAGAAGTTTGGAGGAAGGAACT